GAAGCAACTTTTTCAATAATAATCAGTAGTAGATGAGAAGGCTAGCCAGTAAACTCAGTCCTAACAGCTGGATTTTTCCACATTATTAGGAGTATTTGAAGGTGCTTCCTGAAGTGAGGGAACATAAAATATTAGTCAGGTAGAATGATGGACTTCAACTGCATTGGGGGGTGAGTTTTACATTGTATCAGAAATGTCCAGTGATTAATATTTGTTTGTTTCTCCTTTTTTATTGTAAACAAAGAATTCTTTAATTGTCAAGTCCTCTCCTGTCTCTGCAAATAGCTTTAGCCCTAGATTCCTGTGTTATTCACAGGTGAATGTAGCAGTTATTACAGACATGTGTTATCTGCAAACCTGGGACAAACGAAATCTGCTCACAAAAAACCACAGGCCCATTTAATGCTGATATTACTTCCCCATGAAATACTAAACCTTGAGTATTAGAACACTGATGTACTTTGTTCCAGTTTAGCCATATTCATTTGAGGTTAAGCAGATAATCCTGTGAGCTTTGAATTTTCTTTGTAGTCTCTCACTTCTCTGGTGGAAAATAAGCTGCAGCACAGTCTCAGAAATTAACGTAATGCTGTGCTCTAGTGAGAAATGCTTCGCAGTGTAATCCTTGCTCCTAAATAACATTTGGAAGGAACACAGAAGCAATTTTATGTAGGTGATAATGAACTTTGAGGCTACTTATAAGTTGTAATATGCATATATTTCTGTCTATGAATTAATAAAATGTTGAAGTAAGTTTTAGCACGTCAAAGATGTCTAGGAGATCTGTGTTTGGGATGAGAAATAATTATTTGGGAAAAATGATGTGATGTGCATCTTTTAAAAGCACTGACATAATTACAATTTTCAGAAGGAATTATACAGATTCTAAACCAGGACATTATTTTGAATTTTTGAATATGTAGGTCTTAGGTACCTATTATTTGGTTTATCACAATACTTTGTTCTTGAACAGAATTTGGCATTAAGTGTTTTTTGGGGTTTCTCCAGTATACAAGTTATTACCATAAATTATGAGATGTTAGTGGAAAGAGGTACAAAGACATCAAGTTTTTTGTTTCTCCCTGAGCCTGGCTCTGTAATAACAGACTTATAAAAACTAAGCTGTTTTATCTGGTATATGGTAGATTATCTTCAATAGTGAGATAAGAGGGAACAAGTTGACCATTCAGAAATTACTGTTGTTGACCCATGAAACAGATGGAAAAGAGTTTTTGTTAAGCTGATTGTGTAAAATGGAGTGTAGCAAAGTAATTTGAATATGAAAAAAATCTTCCAGTTCCATGGTGTCACAGAATATTACAGCATACTGACATGTGATTTAAGCATTTACAAGAGGGATTGAATCTGTACAGAGATGTTTATTAGATATCACAGGAATGATTTTTGCAGTTCCAAAAATAGTAGCTTTTATATTGTTAGATTGAGATGAGTGCTGTAAATACTAATTTTCAAAGCATGAATCAACTCATCCAGGTTTTTTATTTTAAAATCCTTTCTCCTATTATAATTAATCTTCAGTTTTAGCAGTGTGATCTCAGTGTAAAATCAGCTTAATCTTTCAGGCTGGCATGGATTAGGAATCTTGTTTTGATAAACAGTCTACAGACCTGAGCAATCACAGGGCTTACATGTCAGCTGGGAAATAAGGACATGTAAGAGTAAATGGACTTGCCTGAGTTTTGCTGTGAACAGATATACAGAGTCCAAACATACAGGAAGCTCAGACTGTAGCTGTGGCTTGGTACATCCACATGAATTCCACTTCAAGCAGTAATTTACTCATCTTCCTAGGTATATACAGTAAAATAAAAAAAAAAACCACCTTTTTTTTCTTACTACCTGTGCTAGTGATATCCTTTCAGAGAAAGGATAGTACTTAAATAGTTTGGAAAATTAAATGTTGCGATCAATGATATAAAAACTTATTTAGGGATAAATTTGTTTTATAAATAAGACAAACCTCTTTCCCTCATTTAACAAGTTTGCTGCTAATGCACAGAATTCTTTGTACCAAGTGAAAAACAAAGCAAGGCATATTTTAATGGCATAAAGATTCTTTGAACTGTTCACATGACAAGCACCTTTTTTCTAAATTAATGACAGTTCTTTTCATAACTCTTCTTAGTACTGGTTTAGTAAAAATGGACAGTCATTATTGCAATATGCCATTGGAATTTGTAGATACTGTGAGGTCATCTTGTCTATAGCAGACAAGAGAATTCCGTGCATTTTAAGTACACATTGGTATTTCTGTGATCACTGAGAGTCAGGAACAGCACTACACCTGAGTTTCCTGTGCCACTGCCATCATCTCTGTAAATGCAGATGTCTCCTCAGAGAACTTGCAGGAGTTGTGAATCACAGCCACTTTTATTTTCATGTTGGCTGTAGGTTTACTTGTACAATTTTCATAAGAATTCATTCTTCATGTTAGACTTTGTTCACATAATCTAAGCTACTATGACAAAAGGTAAAAATGAGTTAGAAATGCCAAAAAGTAGTCAGTGCTGTTGGTCCTGGTCAGTGTGTGTCTAGTGAGTGTGTCATTGCTAAGGAGCATTCAGTGCTAGCAGAGGGAATTGCAGATGTGGGTACAATGGAGTGCAAAATCAGGATGCTCCCAGAAATGTATGACTTCAAGATGGACACAATGGAAATAGCCTAATGGTACTCAGATATTGCACCAGTATGAAATGTGGTATTTTTCACTAATGTCCAAAAAAAGTTTAAAGACCACAACATCAGCTTCAACAGGATTGAGACTGCTGAACCAATGCTAGATTCTTTTGCTAGATGTGTCAGCTTTCTGAACTGTGATACCCAGCAGTCTACTCAGTTAGCTTTTCTCTGCAGTGCAGGAAGTTATTATACTGCAAGTGGAAGTGTGGCTCCAATAGTTCTGACTCTTTCTTAAAGCACAGCTCAGTAACTGAACCCCACCCTGCCACGGGCTGTGTAGGCAGATTGGTTTTCAAACACACCATGGGATATTGGAAGCAGTTATGCTCACCAGGCAGGGCTGCTTGTGGGAGCTCTGGTGTGCTCTGGGGTAGCCAAAGGCAGCTGTGCTCTGACCATGTAATCACAAGGCTACAACAGAGACTGAAATATTACTCAAGCCATTTGGGAACTTCTTCAATTTCCCTCTTCTCCACAGACTTGGGCTCTGCAGGCTTCCTATTTTTTTTATTAGTACAGCTTTACTGTTCAAAGGCAACGTAACTTGGGGAAGAGTAGGAATCATATCATTCTTAGCACATGGATAAATACACCTAAAAAAGAAAACTCAGTCATGCAAACCTAGCATTTACAAGAGTTATATGGATTAGAATGACCCATGTAAAACTACATATCAATTGTTGAAAGAATCGGGAACTAACAAACTGGCACAAATAGCATGGTGTGTCCTATAGGTCATGGTGAGATATTTCATCCTGAGATCAATGAGAAGTAAATAAAATCTGCCAGATGTTTTCATTAAATACTCAAAAATTTTCAAGTAACAATTAACTAGATTTTTTAAACATTTATTTTCTGCATGTAGTGCATCTAAAAATAAAGCCCATTTTCATTCTTTCAAATTGAAATACATTCTGGGACCAGCACAAAAACTGGCACCGGAGCACATCCAGCCTTGTAGGCCTAAGATATGAACTGATTAAGTTATTTTTAAACAGCAGACAGGGTTAATTAAAGTTGGGGAGTCCTGAAGAAACTCAATTCCCCATCATTTTTTCCCCTTAAATGTACATTTTAAGCATTTAGAAAAAATCTTTATCATTCTAGTGAAAATCTGTGATTACAGCTGTTGTTCATCTTTATTTGAAAGAAATGATTTTTCAGTTGCAAGGGTCATAGGTTAAGATGTTTTTGGGGCCTTTTTTGTACTACAATAAGCACAACAAACACTATGGTTTGACATCCATCTAAAGGCTAAAGGTAAAGGCTAAAGGTAAAGGCTAAAGGCTATGCTCAGTGCTAGCTGGGGGATCAGCTTTAGTCAAAGGTTTCCTGTAAACAAAATACCCAAATAAGCTCAAACTACCCAAGGAAAAAGTGTAGTCTAATGTGGAAGTCATGACAAGTATTCTTGGCAAATTGTGATGTGTGCAGCGACAACTGCAGGTTATTCAGAACTGCTAAGAGGGACCCTGAAAGAAGCTTGCTGTCCAGGTGCTAGATTTGGATTTAAGAAATAGGCTGTACAGTATCAAACTATATAAAAAGCTTAAAAACCACAATGAGAATATATTTAAAAATTTTTCTTCTATATTGTAAAAAAATTTAAATTAGGTCCAAACCACCATTTAAAAAGGTATGAAATGTGCAATTTTGCATATGGAAACAAGGGGCACAAGAGGGATTCCATAGGGGTTAATTAGAGTTGCTTTGTGCTTTCTTTGTTTCCAGTACCTTCATATACCCAGTAATCACACAGACCTCAGAGCAGTTCTCTTCAGGCAAGTAGGACATGAGCTAAAAGTATCATTGCTGATTTCAGTAGGGAAGATTGGCTGCAACAAGGAGTAAAAAGCTATTTTAAGAGACAAATGTACAGTACAACCTATTTATGTAAATACTTGGAAAACTCAGGAACAAAATTGTTTCCTAAGTACAGAGCTGTGAAATCAGTGTGCCATATGGAGCTATAATATATGGCAGAATATTTTAAAATCCTAAACCTTCTTGAAAGAAAACTGTTGTAAAAGTCTGCATCTAGAATAAAATGACTACTCGTGTTTTAACTGAAAGCTGCAAAGATATTTCCAAATGTACTAAAATTAATATAACTTGATATTGTAAAAAGGCAATAACTCTTTTCACTTATTTCTCACAAAGCATAGAGTGTGGAAATGATAATTAAAGGCAAGTGAAACAGATGGCTGTAACATAATTTGTGAGTCTTAACTGGCACTTAACACTAACTCTACTTTCAATTTGACAAATACAATAAGACACCTATGTTGACATACACGTGGTGCACTTAACTACTTTTATTTATGCAAGTGAGGTATTAAAATTGTCTTGAAAAGCAGACATCTAAAGAAGAGTAAATGGTATGAATAAGAGAATAGTAGTCATTGCTTTCATTGTTCAATGATTAGTAGTTGTATGGTTTTTTTCTTCCACCATCCTATCTTATTTCCATGCAAAGTCTCTGTCTTACTCCTCCACTTGATAGGTAGCTTGGGAAGACTGGAGGAAATCCACCAATTTTTCAGCAAGAATTAATTATGAAGACTGGCTTTGTTTTTTTGAAATGAAGTATAATAAGCTAAAAGTGTGTGCACTTCACACGCTGCATATGGTACACTTTTAATATATACACTGTCATTGTACACGACCATTTTGTATATACATTGATACCACCTTAGCAGAAAGTTAAAAGTCAATAGATAATGAACCTTGTGCTGTATCTTCTCTTCCTCTGACATAAATTTCACATGGAATCTCCTCCATCACCCTGTCTTCTATCACCTGCTCGGGGCAGTCGTGGGCTTGCTTGAAAGTGTAAGTGCTTTTCTTGAATGTGCTGTTAAATGTTTTCATGGGCTGGGGCTGCGCGAAGTCATTGCGGAAGGGCAGTTCCATGGAGCTCAGGTTGCTCCTGCTCTGCTTGATATTGGAGGCCTGGGAGCCACAGTGGTGGTCGTGAATGCATCTGGAAGCTGTGGAAGGGCGGCGCAGTTTCTGATAGTTTTCAAGTTCCTCTGATAAATCTGCCAAATCTGCAGAAATTTCTTTGTCCCTTAATGAGAACAGTTCATAGTGAGGAGGATCAAAAACTTCCTGGAAACCAGTTTTATTGAAGGCAGTCTTGCAAGCCATAACCTTTTTGCGAGGTTGCTTTACTTGCACTAGAATTGAAATGATGAGAAGAACTAAAACTATCCCTGTTGTGATGCCAATGATTGTCCCATGCGTTTTGGTGATTTGTTCAAACAATCCAGTTTTTTTCTTTTCTACAAAGAAAAAATTATTATGACAAGACATTTATTAGCTTCTACACTTTTGATAAACAAAGCAAGACTGTATTGTGATTGCCATGCAAGTGATCAAATTACTTAATGGGACTGGAGGCTGGACCTGTATGTCAATGGGATTTGTCTAATTCCCTGGCATTAGTGGCTACAATATGATCATTCAGTGGCAGGTGCAACTCTGTGAACCAGCCCTTGCTGACTCAGCTGGAACGAGCCTTCCATCCTGAACCTTTACTGATGTCTATATTCCTAAATCCATGAGTTAAATGGGCTTAAATTAACCTTAAATAGGTTAAATCCAGCTACAGATGATATTTCTCTTACCATAATTTGCTCCTGCTGGTAACATTCCCAAGTGATGTCAGTAGAAGAAAACCCAGATTTAAAATTGTCTAGGTCTTCTTTAGAAGTGAAATATCAGATATAAGAATGACTGTACTGTTTTCACATCTCTTGAAAATGTAATGGCTGTGTCTATTGTGTAAGTCAGTTTACCTAATTAATCACAGGGAGCTTTAGCAAAGCTCTATTCCAGTTTTAAGAGTCCAGTGAGGAAGTTACTTAAAAAAAAAAAAGGTGGGGGGGATACACCAACCAACCCAGATCATCTGGCAATTTTGGCTAGTACTTCATGTGAAAACACACAAGATGGCAGCATCAGAACAAGACGGTTTTCCATATTTAAAACTCTTTGAAGATTTAAAGTTTCCCAGTTGGATTTCTGTTCCATTAATGTTCTCGTTCTGCGGGACTGAGAGATTTCTACACTGCAACACTGGCTAGTGTTAAAACTATTTAAGACTATGAAGAAGAAAATGCAGTAGCCTAAATCTTGCATAATATTTTCAGATATCTGGCTCCTGGCATCTGAATATGTGTACTGTGTACCTAAATACCACACACAGTGCACGGGGAGAGTTATACACCATCAAGTGTTATTTGAAACAATCCTTATGCTGAGCAGAGACTCCCAAGGAGTTGGCTAATAAGAAATTACATTTTTGTTTCAGAACTTGGGCTGTTTCCTTTGAGCTACTTTTTACCTTTGAAGTGAAGAAGATATCTCCCCTTGTCCTGCCTATCTTAGATCACAGTGGTGCCATCCATGGTGGGAGCTGTGAATTTCACTGCTATGGCAGTTCTCTCGTCTGCATCTAGGTTTCTTAATTCTTGGCAGATATTTTAATCAAAAAGTTGCTTTGCAAAAGGCAATGTCTTCACCACTCTCTTAAAATAAATTGCACACAACTGACTTCTCTATCAATTTTTGTGTTACAGGGCTTAGGCATAAGTAGGTCACAATATGCTCAGATTTATGTAGCTATTGATATGGACTAAATGAGAACTCTGGGTGCCTGCAGGAACTGAGCACAATTGTGAGCAGTTCTCTTTCTAAGGCTAAGAATTGCTTATTTGGTTGCATCAGTCTCCCTTAGCTGGCAATGTGGATCTACTCTTCAGCTGTCTCTTAATTTCTGCTGTGCAAGTATTACAGCACAATTTAGATTGCATTCAATATAAAGCATGATGGGTTATTCAACACCAGATACAGCAATTTACAAATATTGGGAAAGTCACAGTTTTTATGGAATTAATTTTTTAATACTGCAGTACATTAATGAAGTGTGAGTTCTTGGGAGAGTCTAGAAAACAGTTGGTAGATGGAAAAGAGATCTAGAAATTAAACCTAAGAGGGAATATTGAGTATTATCAAAAATAAGGATTGTTTAGAGGAAGCTTAGTTTTACATTGAAAACTTGGGAGTTATGGACCAGTTTTGTTGACTGGAAAACTTCTACAATATGCCTTACATTAGAGTATCTAGAAATGGTATTAATTTCTTTGTTTACCCAAAATGCAATTAACAAGTAGATTTTTAAAATGTTTACTTTAAAAATGCAAGCACGATTTTTGCATTGAAAAGAAATTTTCTTTCAAGACTTTCTATAGAGATGGTTCGGACCTTTTCTGCCGGGTCGGTTTCTCTTTGAAATGGAATACATATTTAAATCTTCTGGACTTTTGTGTTCAGAGCTATTGTTGCCATTCTATTTGTCAAAAAACCCTAAGCAAGGGTTTTTGTTCTATTGTTTTCTTCAGCAAGAAAAAATGTTGACCTTAGACTGGTTTTGTTCTAACTCTGACAACTGAGCTGCTCTTGAAGCATGGGGGAATGTCTGTGCTTTAACAGAATAACAATTACTTCAAATTATGAGAATTTTTCCTACAAACCTGATACTGAAACAAGTCTTTTCTGTAGTTGTGATGATTGAAAAAATACTCCCCACCCCTGTTCTAGAAGCAGTAACTTACATGTGTCTGTATTCCATGAGTTTATTTCATGCTCCCTAACAATTCCTCCTTAGTCCCATCCTTTCTCAAACCATATACAGCAGTTGAATTTATCCTCAAACAGCTTGTGATTTACAACTCTAAACAAATGTTTTTAAATTGTCTTGGAGGATTATTGCTTCTATTTCAACCCTGAGAGGCTTTTTGTTTTTGAAAACTTAGTTCCCTGTTTTTTCAGTTCTTTATTTTTATCTCTAAAAGGTATCACCTGTCCCTACAATCCTGGCTTCATTAAAGTTTAGAAATGGATAGGATGCAGCCTCAAAAATACTAAATTCTAGTTCTTATCAAGTGGATATCCTTTTAAAATAGAGAGTATATGCTGAAGAGGAAGAAATTCAGTTGAAAGCAGTAAGATCAATATTCAGGATGCTTACATGTGTCCCGAGTTTAAATAAAAAAATTTGGAACACCTTCCTGAGATTAGCAGAATAGCTGTCTTCAGCATATTTCCAGGAAAAAGACATTTCATGACTTTCTCGAAAGGCAAACTGACCAGCCTAGCGCATAAAGGCTGTGGTTTGCACTATATTCACCTCTGCAGTGATTCTCATCCCAAGGGTATGCACAGTTCTGAATGCCATTGCAGACTAAAGAATTATTGATGCACATGTTGCTATGGCAGAAGTAAGTGTTGCCTGAGCAGGGAGCTGCAGGAGAGAAAAGAAAGAAAATATTCAGAATTTTCAGTAATTGATGCCTTGCAATAAAACTATTAAGTTCCTATATCTGGGGTTTTTAACATGCATTCTTCCTCTCTGTTTCAAACACAATCACTTCTCTTGCACATCCCTATCTGATGCCTTTCTCTCCCCATGTAATTGCTTTCAGCAATTTCAGTATTATCAATGCTCTAAAACCTATTCTTGCTCCAAAGGGGTAGGGAGCAGATAGAGACAGTCACAAAACACAGATGATGGAAGAAGGTTTTAGTAAGTGTCTTTAAAAACTTAATACTTAAAAATCACACGTTCACTATCAATTATATATTTATTCTGTGGAGCATCTGCTGTGTAGATGTTGTGAAGCAGTCCCTGAACATCTGCATTTTAGAGCCCATAACTATCTTAAGGCAAATCAGATTTCAGCTTGTGGAGGACTGTTTCAGTAATTGCAAGAGATTTCAATAGAGGCATCTAAATCATTCCTGCTTGTGAATCAAAAGCTCCTGGATCCTCCTATTAGAGCTAATACAGGGACTGAGAGAGTACAGTTTAGCTTTTTGTGTATCTATCTATATATAGTCAGAAATTTGAAGAAAGAAATTAACTAGAAGGCTGCCCCATATTTTTCTGAATATTTGTTGCAGCTCCTTGATATAAGAAAAAAGATATTAGAAAGTAGTAATAATTCTTTTCAGGGTGTTGTATCATATAAGTAGAGAATTATTTATAAATTCAGGACACTGGACAAGAAATTGATTTTCCCTTTGTTTCAGTAATGTGGTATTTTTACTATGGAAATGTCTTTTATTAGTGGAGTCAGTTATATACTAAACAGCAAAGATGTGTGATAGACATTCTACTATTTGGTTTCACAGAAAGAATGTATTCTTGAGCAGTCTAGATTCTCTGAAACAGAACAGGAAACCCAAAGGGTAGAGCAGAGGGAATGACTACTCCTGAACAGTGCATTTCTCGCTTAGTCATTCTGTTAGGCTTGAGAATCTCAATGACAAAAACAGGAGTTATGCCTACAAAAAAAAGAACATTCAAACATTTGATTTTGCATTCCTAAATTAAATATGTATTGTGTTTCTGTGGCTTACTCCACTGAAGTTGGGTAACCGTCACTCATTGATTTTAAGCTTTTGTATTTGCTGTTACTGCTTAACCCTGGCAATCTGGCAACATATAAACATATTCTCATTTCCCTGAACAGGTGAATTGTTTTTACAGCTCTGTATTTGGTTGATGCATTCTGCTGTTGCTTTTCCATCTGCCAGTACAGTCTCTCCTCTACATGTTTGTGTAGTCCCTTTAAATTTTTGTGGGCATGGCTTTGGTTCACAGTTCATGAATATGGGACAAATGGACTTATTTTCCTTTTGTTTGTTATTTGGGGAGTTTGAAGTCTAAAAGTCACAATGGTTGATCAATTCCAGCCTAGGACTTCAAGGTCATAGCTGGACTCTTCTCATAACAGCTGCCCAGAAGTGGTGCAATGCTCACAGTGCTCTTTGTATCCAGCATTACTCATGTATTGAATCAAGCTAGGAATCAAATACATTGATTTTTCACATTGCTGTTAGCTGAATTACTTAGTCAAACATGCAAGCAGTGCTAGGTGTGTGTTAGGTGACTGTCATGCACTATTAGGTAATTTATGGAAATCTTTCCAAAAATATTGATCATTTTCATGGTTGGCTTCATGTAATTACAAATCATTAGCAAGGTAGAAGAGAAAGATATCTTAACAATCTGAAAATAAGATAAGCTCAGATTGGCATTTATTTCAGATAGAAAAATTGCTTATGACAAGATTATATAAAAATACTTGAAACACTTTACAGCCACATACTTTTCAATGACCCTATCCAAGAAAGGGAGTATCTCAGGTAAATAACAATAACCACATACCTTTGCAGATGTTCTTCTGCCAATGACTTTTGAGTTGCTTTAAGCTCACAAATTTGGAAAGTTATCTACCTTTAGGAATACTTAGTATTTCAACCTCTTGCATTAAAAATCGTCCACACACCCCCCCACAAAAAAATCCAAACTCAACAACAACAAAAAACCCACTCCAATAATTATAATATAAATAGATCATTTCCCTGGCAAAGTTCATAGCATTTTCTACATTGAAAGCTAGAATAACTTGCACTATCACCAATGTTAATAATTGTATTGAAATGAAAGCTAGTGGAAAAGCAGTTATCAATTTTTGCAAGCTGTACTTAAACTTGACATTTATTTAAATTCTCAATATCTAAAGCTTATTAAATGCCTCTTGTAGGTTAAGCAATCGACTAGCTTGAAACATGCAACTGTTCCTTACTACCATGTACTCAAAGTAAGCCAGAATCTATTTCTCTTATACATATCTGTTACTTTAGGAAGGTTGTTTTATATAAAGTAGCTTTTCTCCTATGTTAAAATTTACTGTTTCATGGAACAGAACACAAAAGCTACCTGTTACCTGAACTTTTGTGCAATTTAGTGACCAGGATCTTGTTCAGGACTGGCTACAGACATGTTCTGTCAGAAAACTTATTTTTTTGTCAGCTAATCTGTACTATTTATTCTTCAAGCAAAACTTTTTGATAACCTTTAGCACAAGTATAAGTCTGATTTCCTGAAATGGGAATATTTCATTCAGCTCTCCACATGTATCTCAGATCTGCTCTGCAGTTCTGAACTCAGTCTGCTTTAGTGCCATACAAACAACACTGCAATGGTTCTGCAATGTGGACAGTATTGTCCTCTGTAAATATGTGAGGCAATAAAATTCCATTCAGGTACAACACTCTTCGAAGAAAAAAATCTCACAAAAAACCTGCTTTCAAGAAACATCTTAATTTACAATGAGAATAAAGACTACCTCTAACCCAGGCTATGGAATCCAAACCAAAATCCAGATGGCATTTACAACTCAGCTTTAATTAGAGGTGCTTTGAATCAACTTGAATTTAACTACTTATCTATGGGTGTGCTACACCACAGGGCTTTGCTAAGGGAGCACATGTGGGGTCCATCAGAGCCAAATGCAGCTGAGGATAAGGGAGCAGCTTGGCTGGAGGGGCTGTAGTTCCAGACCCACAATTGAAGATAGAGCTGTGTTTAGGAAGTAGAGCAAGACTTGACAGGATCAGACATGTTTTCTACTCTTCTGAACATCCAGAGTGGCCTTAAAAAGAGCCTGTTCTGGTATCTGGCAGGAACTGGGAGAGCATGCTTCAGTCCACTGCTGTCTTTTTGAAGTCTGTGCTCATTTGTAGGGAAGGATGTGTCTTTGGGAGAAGGCTGTAGCCTAGGGCACTATTGCTGAATTCAAGTGGAAAATAAGCCTTTTAAAAATGGAGGAAAGCTTTTCTTCAGGAACCATGTTAGAAATGTAATAAAGCAATTATCTAATTTACCTGCTAGTATGTGAAGGAAACAGAAATAACCTATTTCATCTATTCCTGCTGCTTAATATTCAGCCAATGCTTTCCCTAAAATACTTGAAGTACCTCAGTACCAGGCGAAATGGCACTTTTAGATCTACTTACGATCCACAAAGGAAGTGAAGAGCATTCTGAACCTGCTCAGTCTGCTGCCTTCATCTGCCCACATCCGCACCACCCCTGTCCCTGTCTGCAGCGTCACGTCGTTGGCCACCGTGCTGCAGAACTTGGCCTTCAGGTTTTCAATGGAGCTGCTCCCATCATACACAGCAACAAAGTTCCTTTTGCATTCATTGGAATGCTCCATCTGATAGTCCAGAAATCGCATATAGATCTATTAGAAAAGAGGAATCAATGTCTTTGGGAGAAGAAACACAGAGAGTAGAGTTTTCTTTCTTAGCAGATCTTGAATAAGATATTTTCTTCTTCCCTTACACATTCATGTAGTTCCCAATTCACAGCACTTTTAAACTTAGATTTTCTCATTAGATGTCCATGTAAAGCATTACCTGACATTGTCTTGGGTATCCATTTCACTTCTTCCTGTTCCCTAAAACAATCTTTATTTAAAATTTTACTTTATTTCTGCTCCCTTTGGAAAAACACTACAAAGCAACACACTTGGTGAAGAAACCCACAAGAAGCTCTGCTAAATGTGAAGTCTGTTTCTCTAGAAAGAGATACAAGGAATGCATAAATGTACTGAAATAATTTTTAAAGTATTTTGACTGTTCTCTTTCTTTCTAGTTCATAAAAACAATGTTAAAATATAGGGGAAGGAGTCTAGTCAGAAAAGCTCTGAAGTAAAATAAGGAAATTAAAATTTATTGCTTCAGAATGAAAGCTAATTACTGAACCATAGCTGTGTTATGGAAGACACAAACCATGAAGTCAGGAGTAATTTGAATAAAAATGGAAACGAGAAAGAAGTAAGCTGGCTGTGTAGGAAGAATTAATGAATTTAAACTAATCTTAATACTTCTAAAAGCAGAAATCTAATCCAAGAGAAAGCAGCATATGTGTTAGAACATATGCAGCAAGGAAATTAAAAGATTGAGATGGTCCTTAAACAGTAAGTAAATAATTTATTTTGCTGGAGAAGGAAACTCCTGCACGATTGTCATTCAGTTAAGATTACATTAACACATCAAAAGGCTTTCGAAATTCTTCAATGGTTGTATTGGAATTCTCAAAATTCTTCTGAAAATTTTGAGATCTGAAACCAAGTCGCTTAAGCTTGCTGCATTTTAGACTTTAACGATTTATAGACGGCTGTTGTGTTGCTGGAGAAGCAATGTGCCCAGGGACTGACCGAGCCCTGCACTCCGTGGCTGTGTGCATCTGCCCAGGGACTGACTGAGCCCTGCACCCCGTGGCTGTGTGCATCTACCAAGGACTCTGGGACCCCTGTTCAGGTGGGGTGCAGGAGGTCAGGGCAGATGAATCTCACTCTTGGGCTCTAGAACCCGGTTTGCTGCCCCTTTGCCATAGCTCGATACCAACCACCTCTGGGAGACAAAACAAGATATTCCCCTCCCCATTCCTACACCTATCAGGCTTTATTGAAAACATGGTAAAAGAGAAAGACAAGTGACACTTGCACCCCATGGCTTTTCCTTTTCAGTGCTTCCAGAGGCAGGTTGGCCAGCACTGCCTTCCCTTGCACATTCTGTCTGAAGGTGCAGCCAGTGCCATATTAGCTCATGCTTCACCTCACTTTTTTGTGATTTTCAGAATATGTATTTTTTCTTTTCTTCTATTTTCTTTTTTTCCCCCTGCTGTTTTTGTTAAGATTTACTGCTGGAAATTCTGCTACATTGAGAACCTGTTCTCCATTGATGACTTATCTCAAAAACATGGATGTGAGCTGCAATTGCTAGTATTTGGGCTGAGAGATGATATTTTCCTTTAATGATTGACTTCATTTATCTGCTACGAAGTTACAATGGAAACTAAAAATAATTTAGCACACTTAGTAGAGCTATTATTTGTATGATAACAAAGGAATAATCCCATTAAAAGTGCTCACCTCTTCAGAAGCTCCTTTGGATTAATGTGCTAGGCAAGTATAAAAGGTCCTCACTCTTACATTATATTGATTATTCTGTTAATTTTATGAAATCTGGACATAATTTATTAAGTGTCTGCTTTACACATTTTAAAAATACTTTCATTGCTGGACTCATGTCAGCTTGAAAAGTTTATTTTTATTGCAAAATCAAATTGAGGAATTAAAAAATGTCTGTGCCTATTTTTCTCAAGAGACTGCACTGTATCAGATCTAACGGATTTTATCATCATAATTCTTCCTGAATTGAAGCTTGAGAAACCACTGTCAGAATACTAAGAATTATTTTTCTGTAATGTTTTAAATCAATAATTTAGGATGATGATCTAATTTCAGGACTCACCCAACTATAACTCTGCCTTCTGGCAACATTCAATAATTTATTAAAATACTTAAGCACAAGACCCGATGCACTCAAGTGGCAATGTAGAGAGAAAATGGGTTTGTTATTGTTTCTGGAAGAACTACGTCTATTACTTAGACTAGTATAGGGCTCTTGGGAATTGACTCACTTCCTCAAAGGCTCAAATATATTAATGGACTTTTAATTTCTTTCATGTTTTGTCCTCTTATTATCATCTTTTTGGTTACTATTTTAGAGTGCACTTGCAAGGTGGTTAACAGGGCTGGTTAGTTTAGGTGTTAGGAGTGCGTAAGAAGGCAGAGGGAAGGTTTGTTATCTTGGCAGCTACTGCTTCACAATATTTTTTAATTTTTATGTATGTGCAAGCAGAAGCAAAATTAAAGATGTGTATACTCTACGGAGAAAAGCATGTGCTCTTCTGTGCAACATATTTAATGAATATGACTGAAACTAATATGATTCAGGCTTTAGCTATTGTGTATTTTGGGGTTGTGAACAGGATTTTATCCTGCTGTCTGCTAACAAGGTAAAGTCTTTCCATTTAGCTCAGACTGCTGATGACAGTGGGTTTCAAGGAGCTGGACTGTGAATTAGATGGGAGAAGCAGGTACATGTTCTGTTGACTTTGAACAGAACCAAATTCTCCAATAGAACCACTGGAGGCAAACCATTAAGTTTTGGCAGTGAGATTTACTGGAAATTACTGAAGATGTCAGCCAGCATTTTTGCCTGCAGTCTTCCAATAAAACCAGGATCCAAGTCAAATGCCCCTGAAAATTGTTGCTTAAACAGTTCTCACAGTTATTTGGTATTTGGAGCTTCAAATAATAGGAAGCCAGCACTATGGACTTATATAAATTTAATTTCAGAAAAAATTCTCTCTCTGGATTTCCTAAGCCACTGCTACATGACTCATTTCAGTGAAGTACAACATTATGCAAATCACAGTTAGTGACCATTACCTGTTGCTACTGTCACAAAAACCCATTATATCCTGAATTATATCAACAAAACCCACCTTAGCATTTGGAGTGGCTTTAATTGTCCAGATACAGTCAACTGCTTGTCCTGGTTTTGTTTTTCCTTCTTGTTCTACTTGACTGGAACGTACTATTCCATCAGCTCCTGAGAGCTCAAATTGGCAGTCTAGGGAGAAGACAGACCTTGCTGTCAAATACAATATAACATTAATTTAAAATTTAAGGTATAAAGAAATTGTTACTGTAATACTATACCTGGGATGGGATTTAAAATACCTCCTAGGTAAGTGAAGTCAGGATCTGTAATAGAAAGAAGTCATGAATCACCAGGGCTATCAGTGCTTGAGAATCACTTCAAGCTTTAGTATTATCTGCAGATTATGTCCATTTTTTATTATGTCACAAAAAAAATTGCCTGAAAGTTTACTGAATCAATTGGAGCACATAGAGTCAAAGTTTTTTTAGATGAGAACATTATTCCACAAAGATTGACCTTATCTGAAAAAGGTAATTCTATCCTGACAGTTCAGATTTCTAGCACAACACCAAAAATTACTATTTAGTATTTTGTTCCTACATTATATTCTGAATTTAACTATGTCAGTTTTCACTGAAACTGCTGGAGCGCCACAAGAGTACAGGGGATCTTTCTCTGTGCAAAAAGCTTATTTAGATTTATTTTATCAGACTGCTGTCTATGTAGTTCTGAACAATTTGAACTGAGCTTAGCAGAATATATCAACACTTAGAAATTGCTAACTGCTCTTAAAAAAAGAATGTGAAGAAGGCTGCTCAATCCTAAAAGTACTTTTCCCTGGGTTATCTGTGTCTCTTGTATTAGGCCATGTAGAACAGCTCTAGACATGGTTTATGAAATGTTCTATGCAAAGAAAGCACTAGTTCATGCAGAAGTGCACAATGGTTTGGTACAAAATTCTTTTTCAAATGAAGGTCCAGAATTTGGCTCTTTCTGTGATTCTATAAATTATTTTTTCAATAGGAAATATTAATTATTTTTTATATAGGAAGTTTATCATTTCCCCTAGAATGCCTCAATCCTGAGGTTAAGACTCAAACGTTCAGAACATGCCTTCTTTGTCCTCTTTTTATTTACCTATTGTGAAAATCTATGATCACTATATGCAAAATTCTGCAAGGTTTTCAGCCTTCTTTGTAAGCTGATTTTTTTATAAAGCAGGAGTATGTGCATATGTTCCCTTTCATTTTCACAACCATAAAATATTTTACTACACTTCATATAAATGAAGAGGAAGGAAAAGAAAAATATCAGTCCTTCATTTGCTGTAATCTATTGTGAAAATAATACACAGTTTAAATGTATATTTAAAGTCTCAGCCTGCAACTATGGTAATTTAGTTTTGAAAGTGGTGTTGATGAAATGGCTTTGGAAATGGACTTAGCAAATTGCATAAGTACTGTTCCTGTGAAAACATTATTATCATGTAATTCCCAATGGTCTGGTCACCATGTTAATCTGAAGTTTCCGAGTCTAAATCCCTAAGCAGTAATATATAATCATGAATTGTGTTTTCATGTGCTCTAGGGGTAAAGATAACATGAAGAAGATATATTTGTGTATACATTTATCGAAGTAGTAGAGCTGACACTTGTATATTGCCTTTTGTCCCAAAGGACAATAAAATGCTGATAACTACATGCGTAGTATCTATGAAGTACAATAGTCAAGCATTGCACAAGGACATCAGGTCAAGTTTTCATGTAAGAAGGATGCCCTGCCAGGTTTAAGTAGCTCCACAGAGCAGATGTAATTTTTGTTTGTCTAAAGGCACTGTCAGCACACTGTCCTCTCCTTTGCACCTGTGAACTACACAGCACTCTGAGCAAAGAGCAGCTCTGTTTTCTGAGCCCAAGGGTTGAGGGAACCCAGTTATACTGAGAGCTCGTGCTTAGACTGTGCAGATATTTGCTCTGGGTTTTCAGAACGGAGATTTAAAATGTTTTGCATCTGGCTAGAGTGCTACTGTAGAGTTGCTTCAGGTGGTTTTGTCCAGTGTCTTACATGCCTAGAAGAGAGGCTGGTGAAAAGGCAGCTCTTTGCATGTGCTGTCTTTCCTTTCCTACCACTGCTGAAACTGGTACAAGTAGACAAATAAAGAAGGGTGCTGCTGAAGATTTCAGTTTGAACAAGCTCAACTGTCTTCCTCTCTAGCAAATTACAGATCTGTAATTTCCTTCAGTCAAGATTCCCCAAGTGCTTTTAGCCATGTGGCCTGTAGGAGTAGCAGGACTGAGACTGGCTATCACATTGTCACTGTGCCTCGTAAGTGCTCATGCTGAAACGTAGCTCTAAGCTGAGAGGACAAACACACCCACAGAGTTCAATGGGAGCAGATAGTCATTAACTCCGTCAGAATTTTAGACATCTTTACCTGGTATAAATGAGTACTTTGCTTGAAATCCCTTTCCTTCCAGCTCCTCATCAGAAATAAACTTGATCCACATAAATCTCCCTGTTGATCTAATTAGTGCAGGACTTTTCAGACCACAGTAACGATTAATGAGAGGGGAGAACCCAAAAGGTCCATCTCGAACCTCCAGGTGATCAAACCGACATTCAAATGAGGGTTCTATGTAATAAGGTTCATCAAAGGTCAACTCAATTCTTTGTCGTGGAGCAGCTAGACATAAAAAAAAATTGAGCAAAAGATTAAATGAAGATCTTGATAAAAAAACCACAAAGACATGAAGTAACAAAGAGACAGGCCTCCAAAACAGCAAGATAAAAAAGAAACTGGGAACTTCTCAAAATACATCTGCAGTCTAGAAATTATTTTCTAGAAGTTATTTTCGAAATATTTTTAGAAATTATTTTCTAAAAGTTACTTTTGCACAGAACCATGCAAAATTTTTTGCTTGCTGATCTTAATTGTTGAAAATTCAGAAAATTCACATTAATTTAATGCAGCACATATAACATATATGAACATATATACAAAGGTATTCAAACAAGGTTACATATTAAGAGATAAATTAAAACAAGTGTTCTGTGAAAGCAAAAGACATAAAAAAGGACAAAACACTAAGCTATGCAGAAAAGAATGGAAAAGAGAAAGATAGGAAGAACTACTCACTATTTCTTAAACATAAAGTCCAAACTGGTAGCTCTTTTCACAGAAGAAATCTTTTATTAGACTATTCAGGGCAGTGTAAGTGCTTCATGTAAGTCAGTAATATGCAGGTGGCTACAGATTGCATATTGGTGAGTCTGAGCCTGTGGCAGTATTGGGATCAGAGCCCTAAATCCTGACTCTCACATCCGTGCTTTGGATCCCAAGACTTTCTCCTGTATGAATGGCTTTACTGTTCCTCATTCTTGGCACCGGCTGTGCTACGTGAACTTCCCGATGCTGGCTGGGATCTGGAGTGACAGCTCTGAGGCATCACACACTGCCTGCTTTTCCTGAATGCCAAAAGGATTTACTCTGGCATCTCCAGCCCTCCCGTCAGACCTTCTGCCTCGCTCACAAGAGCGACACGCATTTGGAGCTGCTGTGAATGTTGGCAGAGCTCTGCATGAAGGAGCAGATCTTGGCTAGAAATTCTGGAAGACCTTGGCCCCACTCAGGCACGCACAGTGTTTCTGTGGAAGTACTGAGGAGAGCTGGAAGCTGCTCCTGTGCCCCAGCCGTGCAACAGGACAGGCTGGCTGCTCCCTGGGGCACTCCTGGGCAGGCAAGGTGCAAAACCAAGATGTGTGTGGGAACAAGCAAAAAGGAGGGGTCTGTGAACCACTGCTGTGCTGTACAAATAAAAACTCATCAAACCTCATTACTTGAACTATTTCAATTAATTGATATGAATCTGATTATTAGGTTGACTAATATTTTTAGCTGACTTCAGTGGGTTTTGGGTGCATTCTAATAAGAGGAAAAATAATTGGAGTGTCTCAAGTCTTGCAGCCTTTATTTAAGATACTCTCATTGGAATATAGTTTTATTCTAGTTAATGACATTTTTTTTTTTTGTCCTCATCACATTATTTTAATAGTAACCTCAGCAGTGCTAACAAATCTCTGTATTTTTAGTACAGTGCCATGGCAGCCAGATATATCTTTTTTATTAATGAAGTACAGCATAAAGGTTTTCTGTTGGTGAGGAAGAAGATTACAGCATGGTTTGAAATAGCCTTCATTTTTTGCAATCTATTATCAGTGATATTAAGGTAACAAGCTACAATTTTTTTCCTTACTAATTCCATATCTTCAAAGATTATAGTAGATGTGCTGCTCCTTTTCCTGGCTGTGAGGATATGTCTTATTCTATATAGCTAATTTTTTACTGTTTGCATTTCTTATTTATTTGTTGCTATAACTTGACAAAGAAAATTTAGCTTCTTGTTCAAGTAAATGGCTGTCGAATTCATTATATTACCACTATGGCCATGCAATCCTTCACAGCAGGGTAAGATGACATTTTTAACCGTTCAAGATTTTCCATTTAACAGTAAGATTACAGCACAACAAAGCAGAAATGAAGCACGTACCTTCTAAGATATAGATGCACTCTTGATTGGGTGGGTACATGTTTGGGTAGTTTGGTGAAGCAAAATGTCCTCCATTACTGGTCCGGACCCAGTTGTCACACTGAGTGGGAGGAATGCGATTCACTCCAATACTTTGCCCACCTTAAGCAAAAAAAAAAGTGATCAAATTAGTTTCTTCTGCAAGCATGCAGATTTGATAAAGTAAAATTCTGGCATGACACATACAAGCCCTCTTGAAAGGCACTCATTAATGTCTATCTAAGAAAATCTTATGTTTAATTTTGTGGTGGGGTACATCCTAAAGAAATCACTGTTTTTGAATATCATATATATTCAGAGATGCTTGGAAAGGAGGGGGAGTAATTTTTTTCCTCCCAACTCAGTTCAGGTTTTTGATACTCTTCTTTCTAAGTGAAATAGTCACAGTGGCTGCCAATACCATTATTTTAAGGGTTATGTAATCTCTGTTCCTATGTAAATATAATCAGAAATATCTGTCAGCTTTCACTGGTTTTGACCCTGATTCCAGAATATGCTAAGGTGGGATATCTATTTACAGTAATTTGTTGGAATACAGGATGTTTGTAACAGAATGAGTTTCAGTATGTAAATACACTAAATACAGCAATGGTAGTTAATAAAATTCCTAGACTGCCCTGGTAGCTAAGGGTCTCATTTAGGATTGAAGCTCCTCTTCTGGATGTACAGGGACATGTGTTCCGTGACTGAGATTATGCAGTTTAGAAAGGTAATTCTTCATGCTGGATTATTCACAGAGCTTGGTTCAGATTTCCTCAACCACTGAGATGAGGTTGGGAATAGTGTGATCTCTGATATTCTTAAGTACCTTTGGCCCTTCTCCTTGGTATCCACAGAATTGCAGAGAATAAGACATAGGATATGTATTTTCTGCTCAATATTTTCTAAATCTCACAGGGTACTCATAGTATTATTTGTATTTACATACTTAATTTGCAGACCTGTGAGAGGACATCCATGCTGGTACAGGTCTTAGATGCCTCCAATAAATAACATCACCTTCCACTGGTACCCTGACAGCTTTTTGATTTATGGGGGTGAAAACTCTCTTCTGCAGAAATTTTTCAAGGAAATTCAGTAGGTGGCAGTTCAAGGAATTCTTCTCTCTTAAGGGTAGGTAATCCCACATATGAAAAAATAAGGTTTGTGAAATAGATTCCTTCCCCACTCAGCAGGTTTCAAAAACGTTTGTGGGTGGACTATTTGAAAAGCTTGTTGTCAGATACAGAAAACATGAATTTCTGTGGTGGTTTCTTTCCCATGTCTAACATCTAAAACTGTACAACTTTACCTGGGAAAGTGAAACTTCCATGCTCTTTGTGACTGCATGGTTTTCTTCATTTGGGAGAAAATGCAGTAAATGGGGGAAAATGGAAAATACTGCAATTCATACTGGTAATTCAAGAGCTATTCATATCTGAATACAAACATTTCTTTTCACTTATATTGCTCAATTAGAAGTTATAAAACTCCTCCATTTTTTGAGAGAAAATCATCAAACTAAAATTTTACCTTGTGTCTTCTGAGCAACAGCAATGCCTTCCACTACCAGGATTGTTACAAGCAACACTGACGAGAGAAATTGGACAGGAAAAACATCAGTAATTCTTCAAAGTTATAGACCATTTTCTGCAGTCCCAGTTCATGCAAATCCTGGCATCACTGACCAAAACAACTCAGAACATATAAAAATATATAATTAATTTATGTGTTTTCTTTAAAATTTCAACTTATTAAATCAGTGCAGTCTATGTGCACTGCTGGTGCTTCTTCCAAGTTCCTCAAGAAAGTGTGTATAAGAAAAGCAATTCATAGTTTGAGGGGACTTTTAAGAATATTTTCTAGAGTTTACATGGTATCTGTTGTCTATAAAACTTTTTATATCCTGAAACAAGATGTTTCACTGCTACAATGAATCATATTTATCCTAAAACTCTATTTGCATAATGTGTGCAAAAGACTTCTCCAGCTTCCAAGAAATTCATCTGGACCACAGGAGACACTGCATGGTCTTAACCCCTCCATAGATTTCAGATTTGTGCTTGCAAGACTGGTGGTTGTGATGCTGCTACACAATACCAGTGATTTCTGCAAATGATGAGGCAGTAGTTAATCGACAGACGAACATTCTGGAGATTGAGAGCCTCCCTCTTTCTTTCTTTCCTTTCTGGCCGTTTTACTTTTGGCCTTTCCCTTGCATTGACACATTCCCTGCACGCAAGAAGCATCTGTATGAACAGCATACTCCATATTCCACAGTCCATCAGCAATTTAAAAGCAGCCTTAATGTTTAGATTTTCCTAAAATGCTTTGTCAACTTTGTCACTTCAAATTGTTTAGGATTACTGGGAGGGGGAAAGAGAATGAAATGGAGTAAATTAATATGCCACTCTTCAAATCTTTCATTTGCTTGCACCTGGAGTATCTTGGAAATTCTGGACACAGAACTAGCTAAGCAGGCCCGGACTGCCCTGGACAGAAGGTGGCTGAGGGGAGACAGTTCACAAGTTACAAAACCACAAATATCATTGAGATTGAGAACTGAGCAACTACTGCTTGTCTCTTCCAGTAGAGAACCAGAGGGTGTCAGACAAAGTGTACAGGTGGCATGTTCAAATTACAGAAAGATTTTTCTTTCTTTTTTTTTTTCCTTTTTTTTTTTAATGCACATAATTCATAATGCATACTTGAGGTAGAAAATTCTGTTCAGAAACCCCTTAAGCCATAAATTGTTGGAAGTCTGGGATGTATTTGGGGCAAATATAATTTGCTCTACTTTTATACTCGTTCTGCTTTTATATCTCTGTAAAAGAAGGTACCAAGCAAGATGGACCTTTGATGTGACCTGATATAGCCCTTCCCATGTTCTTAATCTACTTGTCAAGCAGGCATGGCCTTAGCACTGCAGGGCAAAAAGAGATTTCAGCAGGAATTTTATTGTCACATTCAAGAAATTAATTTTATTTTCCCATCCTCCCTGCCTTGTTTCTCAGGCATTTTAGTGGCTCAGTTGAAATGGCTTTTTTCCCATCTGTGCTTTTCCCTGTGTTGCTGTTGGGACTTTGAGCCCTTTGGAGTTGCAGAGTGAGCATGCACTGACTGTGAACCACAGCGATCTTGACTCAACTCATCCAGATGCTCCTCTAACACTGGCATGGATATATTATCTTGGGAAAAGATAAAAAGATTCAAAGTCTGCTCCCAAAAGTGTCCATCTAGCATTTATATTTTATTTTGTATGTTTCTGCTTTCTTTCTTCTCTCTACTCATACTGAAGTAGACCGTGTTTCATTCTGAAACTTTCCTCACCAACAACTGCTTTTTCCCATGCAAGTCAGGTTCATAACTGTGGGTGTTTTCTAAAATACCATATGGGTCTTGCAAACAAGTGCTATGTTCTTAGAAGCTTATTTGATTTTTAGGGATGGATTATGTTAGAGTAGGTGAAGATTTAAGTAGTTTTTAAATTTCCATATCTGCAATAATTCTGCATTTCATCAATATTAATACACTTAAAAATATACTATCTGTCATTATCCAAATACAAAGCAGATGCTGCTAATCATTACTGACTCACCCTAGAATGAAAATTCCTCCTTCAGAAGAAAGTATCTAGCACCCATTACTGGTATTCAGTTATGGATGTTCACTAGTCTTTAAAGCAAATGAACAAATATCCCATCTTTATTAAGATGCCATTGATGTTAGTTTTCAGCTGGTTTTAGTTTTTACCAGTTCCTTACATAGATGATATTATTTCACAATTATTTACCATTTATTTTTGCAGTTTAAACTGTATGCTGAAAAATCCGAGTTTATGAGTTGTATGAACTTACAATGCATTTGTACTCCTGAGATCACTTGTCCCTAACAGAGAATCTTTTCAGTTATAGACAGTTATAAAGTTGTCAATCTCTTTTCTTTGTTGGTTTTTTTTTGTTTGTTTGTTTGTTTTTTGGGGTTTTTGTTTGTTTGTTTTCTACACTGGTTTTGGAGCAACACTTCAATGTTGACTTCTATTGCTAAAGTAAAGGCAGTTTCCCCAATCCTGTGTAAATCACGTGTCAGTATGTTCTATTAATTCATCTTTTTAAAGATGTGCTATGCCCACCCTCTTTTCAGAGCAAGCTCTGTGTAACTTATGCTGCTTCTCAAACTGCAAAATGAGCTTTGACTTTTTTTCTTAAAGCAAACACACAGAGAAATATGAGTGAAGTTAACATGTGACTAACAAAATGAATGCAAATACTCAATTTCAAGTAACAGTGAAAAATTGAGGGTTTGTTGGTTTGCTTTGGTTTTTATTTAGTACAGCTCTCTACTATGGCTACCACTGTTAAAATAAACATTTTTTTAAAATTTCAGTATGCATCTACATTTATTTCAGTGATTGTACTGGTGGAAACAACATAAGAATAGATGTTCTGTTACACTAACCATTGATTTCCCTTCTTGCTGATGTGGATAAAGAAACAACCCCCCTAAAAAGACTTCAGAAACCTGATTGGCTTTCACTAGAGCTGTGCTGTTTCTATAAATAGTCTGGCGCCTGTATCGTGTAAATGCAAACAAACAGTGCCTATTCCTTGCAGAGCAGCATGGATGTGCAGGCAACTGCAGAAGATATGGGTTGAATATTTATCTTACTGTCTTCTTTTTGTCATGTTATATGGATGACTGGGAATAGTATAGGCCACCTTCTCTTTGTTCCCTGCCTTTTTCGTCCTCTTCAGCTTTAACCTCTCACACCTCTTCCTTGCCCTTCCTGGGTAATGCCCATCCTTCTCATGCTCTCAACAGCCCTTAAGATGTATTCAGAGTAGCCCAGGTAGCAAATGTTCCAGGGTCTTCCTTTGGCACTACTTTTAAGGTCCATCAATACTCAGGATGAAAACAAAAGGAAAAAATAATCAGTCAGGATATTTTTAGACCTTTCAGACTGTTTCCATTAACCCATTTTTGTGTGCATTTTAAAAATAACAAAGCAATCTCTAAATTCATACTACTTCCTGGAAAAATAATTTGGAATCTCAAAGACTAATTTGGACAGTAAAAATCCATAAGGAGGAAGATGTCTACGGAAGAGACAAATTCTGGAAGTTGGTGCAGTACAGAGCTAGTGCTGAACCACTGTCCTGGTACTGCAGCAGGGACACAGTCACAGAACTACTTTCACTAACAGTCTTGTAGCATTTCCAGAAGGACGAAGAATGATCTTTTTATTTCTAATAAACTACAACTCAAATAGTTATTATGTACCTGAACTTACAATGGGACAGAGTATTCCTCTGCTCCTTTTTTCCTCTTTTAAAGTCTCTTACAGATCTCTCTGACATGACCATTCTTCAATGTGAATGAAAGATAAGTCTAGGCTTAGCTCCATAGTCTATTATGGTGCAGGAAGAACAAGTAGTGAGTAAAAATGCCACTTGAACATGGCTTGCTGATGTAAGCAACAGCACAGTGCAGGATTGCATTGACTATCAAAGAGATTCAAGGGGAGAGCTGCTGGTTGTTTTGTTTTTACTGGAGGAGTATGGTGAGAATTCTACCAGAGGAGCCTGAGCTATGCAACACTGACCTTATGAACTCAGAGATACTTAGGTGATAAATGTAATAAAAGTTAGTGCTTCTGCACCTTACAGTGATCTGCACCCTGCAGAACAGGCCATCCTTAAGCCAGCAGCAGCACAGACAACAAGGCAGAGATTGAGGAGCTTCTTTTATTCATGAATCTGGTATTTGTACTTGTATTTCATGAATTATGGTGCACACTCTTGTACTACCATTTAGAGCTCTGATAGTTTATACCTGTGTGAACATGAGCTAGGAACATAGAAAAAGCAGCCAGCTTCTGTTTTAAAAGAATGGATTTTTCATTTTCTTCACTTCTTTGCATTAAGTATTTTAGACCACATAGCCTGCAGACAGCTGCATAAATTTTGAAAAGTGAAGACACTAAACATACAATTCAAGTTCTTACTATTCTGTTGCTGAAGTAGACTTATGGAATAACATAAAAGAAGCCCCTGAACTGGTGTAATAAACTGCATTGTTTGCAGATGTCAAGATATTCTTTGACATTTCCTAAATTTTTTAAAGTAAATCTAAGCCAAAAAAGAAGGCAATTTCTGCATTGTAGTATATACAGGGAGGTTCACAAATGTGTGTCTCGTACTTCTCTTTAAAAATGAGAATACTATAGTTAGTTTTGCAGTAAATGGGTGCTCAACTCAATACTGAGAAATCAGCATGTTGCTTAGACAAACAAGTGCTTTAGGCTGCAAATCTGACATATGCTTGTACTTTATGGCAAAACACATTCTTCAGATTTCACAGGATACAGTACAGCTCTGAGCTCCCTATGATATATCTTTCCCCTGCTCTTTCTGCATGCTCTAGGGATCATCACACAGAGACAACAGACTCGATTTGCTGTGTGGCTCTGAGAGCAGTGTCTGTCTTCAGTGATGACAATGGGGGATCTATGCACGCAGGGCAAGCTGAATATGAAACTGGGGAGCAGTCAGGCACAACTGAGAAACATTCCACCATTCCTTAAAATAAAG